ACCAGCTCATCTTGACCTCAGCGGTTTTGATGTGACTTCGACCTGAGGAAAACACCTTAACCTGGCAGGCGGTGGGCCTACCAGCCACCTTCCGCGCGGTGGGGGGGGGGGGGCATTTTTTGCCCCCCCCCGTATCTCCGAAACTACTTAACGGATCCGGAAAATTCAAACGGCGTTCGATAGCCCTGTCAAATTTGTCGAAGGAAACCAAATTTCATTGACCTCGGGGTCACCGATGACGTCACAGGTCAGGTCAAAGATAAAATGTTTCACCGTTCACGGGGCTTCTAGGGAAAGCGCTATAACACCGAGTAAAACGCATTTTGTCGAAAATCAGCGTTAAGGCGTCAGTTGTCTAGTACATATGTTGCATTAGAGGTCACTGGTCATACCAGGTCAGGTCACAGGTCAGGTCACCAAAGGTCACCAAGGGTCACCACATGAGCCCAACTTTACTAAGGTTATGTGATGCATGTTTTATGGCCAGTTTTTCATTTCTGTATCGTGAAGTTTAGTTCACGATGTGCGCAATTTGAAAGTTCCATGTCATTTACCCGCGTGATTTTATTTGCGATGTTTACTATGTCAAATTTGAAATCTGTGCGCATATTTATTTGGATATCATTGAAACTTTGACTTTGGTTGGAATCTTGATCTTTGTTTGTTTTGTTTATTTTATTGAAGAGCAAATTGCATCTATAGACTTTCGGCGCACTGTAGTAAGTACGATCTTCAAATGTATGTGAAATTTATTGTATACCTCCTAGTAATCTAAACCGTGCGACCTGTGAAGCTGGACATGCAATGATTGTTGTTTCTGTTTCAGGATGAAATTTTACTACAAATTATATGTCTCAGTGCGAAGTCTCGTTTTGTTGAGTTACCATTACAATTTCCAACTCAATGGTGTTGGTTATAAGACCATCAGGTACGGTTGAGGTCACTTTCTGGTGGAGGTCAGGTCAAGGTCAGGTCAAAAAAGGTTAAATGTCAAAGTTGATATTTTTGCTTTAAATGGGTATCGATTCGATGCAGCTCGTCACGGGGAGTCTAATGGTGGTCTTTGTTTTGCGCTACGAGGTCTGGAATTGCTAAAAATTGAGTTTAAAAATTTGACGTCATCAATTTTGAACAGTTTTTTCGCTATAACTTGGCCAAAAAAAGAGGTATCGATCTCAAATTTGGTATGTAGATAGAAGGCGGTATGGACTATCACATATATTCCGTTTTTTTCGAAATTCAAAAAACTTGTTGGATTTTTTGGCTATTATATTCAAAAAATCTATTTTTTGATTTTTGGGGGTCAAAATCCCAAAAAAATCGAAAAACCGAAATAGCAGTTTTGTAGCCCTTTTGATTCCACACCTTTTATATCTTCTGTATCTCTAAACCTGTAGGCCTGACAGCTCTTCCCGTGAAACCTTTTTTTGGGTCGAAAATGGCAAAAATGACGTCACTCTGACGTCATTAGCGGCCAACCTATCATAGCCTTTGGAAAAAATGTTGGTCACCATGTGCGCTAGCTGCTCCCGGGAGGGTACTGAAAGTTTGGTGACGATCGGCGCAGCGGTTCTCGAGATATATCGAAAAAAAACTAAAGGGGGGGAATGCCCCCACCGCCTGGAAGGTTAAGCTGACCTCTTCCAAATACAGTTAGATCATTACGGTCAAACGGTGACCTCTGAGGTCAGGTCAAATGCCCTGAAGCAGGGATTCAATTTTCGGTCAATAAATCCCCCGAATGGTCGCAGCACCGTCATTTCGGTACCTGACACTTATCTGGCACCATCATGTTTGTGATGCTCCGCCGCGTAGAATGGTGTGCGGATATTTTGGAAATACCTCAGGTCAACGTCAGAACAAAGTCGTTCAGGTCACGAAACTGGTCGATTGAGATGATTCTGAGTACCTACATTGATGACCCTTCCCTCAATGCCCTCATTTTGTTTGGAAATCTATTGACAAAAAATTCTCACCTCAAACAGCCTAAGTGACCAGAGGCGGATCCAGCTCAGAGTTTTTTTTTTGGGGGGGGGGCAAACCATAACAATTTATCGATTCTTTCCATGCATCGTCCATAGGCGTAATGTTAAAATTATGCCGTTTGGGGATGCCCATTTTGCCCCCCCCCTGGATCCGCCACTGTAAGTGACGCCACAAATGACCTTGCGTCTTTATAGTTTATGACGTCACGCAAGGCCCAGGAGCAAAACTGAAACATCGGACCTTGCAAAGAATGCGTGAAGTACATTCTCCCCGTAAATAATTGTTTGGCAATGAGGGCGTTTCACTATTGCAACATTTTTAACATTACATAGGTTCACTTATTTGACGTCATAGTTCAGTGAAGTGACCTTATATAAAGTTCGGGTGTCACAAGCTAAATCAAAGATAACACTGGCCTGCGTTTCAAGACTTTTTTCAAAAGGTCTGAGGTTTCTCAGCTGTTTTTATACAAGTCTTGTGTGCTGAATCCGAAAAAGCTGTCCATTTTTCTCGATTAGCTCGAGTTTTCACACTATGTCAAGGATAAAAGTTCACACACTGATGCATTAATATGCACATTGGAGTGGGCATGCTGATATATTTTCACCAAGGTTGGATATTTCTCAGCTGTTCTAATACAAGTTTCGTGTGCTTAATTCAAAAAAGCTATCCATTTTTCTCGATTAGCTCGAGCTTTCACACTATGTCAATGATAAAAGCTCACACACTGGTGTATTGATATGCACATTGGAGTGGGCATACTGATACATTGTTCCCCAAAGTTGGATATTTCTCAGCTGTTCTATAATACAAGTTTCGTATGCTGAATCCAAAAAAGCTATCCATTTTTCTCGATTGGCTCCAGTTTTCACACTATGTCAAGGATAACAGCTCACACACTGATGTATTAATATGCATATTGGAGTGGGCATACTGACACATTTTCCCCCAAGATTAAAGATTTCTCAACCGTCCTAATGCAAGTTTTGTGTGCCGAATTCGGAAAAGGTATCCATTTTTCTCGATTAGCTCGAGTTTCCACACTATGTCAAGGATACACACCGATGCATTAATACCTATGCATATTGGAGTGGGCATACTGATACATTTTGAGCTTTTTTAAGTCCCATCCCGATTATTTCCCAGAAAGCTGGTGATTATAGTGAAGAGCAGGTAGAATGTTTCAACAAAGACATACGCTTGATGGAAAAACGGTACGAGGGTCCGGTCGGTGGGACGGCAAGTGTCAACTTCCTGGCGGACTATTGCTGGTGCTTGAAGAAGGACGTCCCATGTGCTCAACACGGTCGGAAATCCGTGAAAAGGCGATTTGTGTCGCAGCAGTGCGTGTGTAGTGTGATCGGAATTCACTTATAGTGGGTCAGTTTGCAGTTTAAACATATATATGCTTCTGTGTAATTAACTATACTAAGCCAATCAGCATGGCTTTGTTCATATAGGCAACACAACGTATCTTAAAAAATCGAGCTAATCGAGCAAAACGGATTCCATTTCCGGAATCAGCGTGAAAAACTGACCTATAAACAGGTGAGAAACCATTGACCTTATAAATCACGCAGACCAGTGTAAGTTAAAAGAACTTTCAGCGCTCTATCGCCATTGCGTCCCCAGCAATGATAAGAAAACCGTCAGAGGCGGATAGTTCTCGCTCCCACGGCCACAGGGGGTTAAACCTCGCTCTCTTCAGAACAATGGGTCATTATGACGTCTTTGACTATTTGGGTCCGAGGTTAGTTTGCGTGGGTGTCTTAAGTCTCTTAAGCAAAAAATTAACAGAGTTGCAATGAGCTCTCGATCACATTTGACCGTTCTCAGTTCAGACCAGTTGACAGTTGTTATTTTTTCCACTGTACGACGAAATTCAATGTTGTATAGCGACCTTAAGAGGAAAAACACCTTTTTAATATTTTAATCATTCAAGGACATTGCGTTGAGAAGACTTACTGCAAAAATAAATTGCAAAAAAAAAGATGGCTACCTTTTCAAAATATGATTTTTAGAAATGAATTATATGTAAAAAATGAAAAACCGAAAATTTTCCAAAATCATTCATATCACAAAAATCGTTGTTTAATTCCATTTGTGGGGATATGCAGTTTTATATGAATCTAATGAGTATTAAGCTAAATATCCGCGGATGAAATTTATAGTTTTTATGATAGTCATTAAGTTGCCTGGGGCAATATCTCCCAAATTATTCGACGGACGTGATTGAAAATGTCACAACACGATTCGCCGGGCTAGATAATCCCATAGCCGAAATTTCATTAAAATTGGAGAGGTAGGGTGTTATTTCGCGCTTGTTTTGGTCGATCTGTCGTGGAATGCCCTGCAGCTGCGGCCGTCTGTCAGACCGTCTGCGGCCGTCTGTCAGACCGTCTGCGGCAGTCTGTCATCTGTGTGCGGCGTGGCGCGCCGCAGCCAGCTGCGGCAGTCTGTCAGACCGTCTGCGGCCGTCTGTCACCCAGCTGCGGCAGTCTGTCATCTGCGCGCTTCGCCCCATCTCGGCACGGCCGGCTTCCGGCACTTGACGAGTGTGCCGCCATTAATCTTTTTTTATCATTTAGTCGGACCTCTCTCCAACGGGCTCATGCCCCAGTTATAGGAGAGAGCATGACCTGTTCCTCCTCGTACTCGAGATGTCAATCTGATACCAACTTTTTGGTGTACCGATACTAAACCGATACCAACTTGGTATTTCATATTTGAAGGCTGATGCATTTGGTATTTTGCTGGCATTATGAATCATCATTCATCAATAATGTAAAAGTGGCTGATAATTCGGTAAAAAGTTGGTACTTCCCTCATATGCCCAAGTCGGCTCGGTTTCGGTATTTTTCCACGAGTATTGTTGGTAGTTGGTTTGGTATCGGTATCACGAGTTTCCGTAGTTGGTTTGGTATCGGTATCACGATTTTCCGTAATTGACATGACTAGTCGCTAAGTGTCCGTGTGCACGGCTGAACTGGGCAGTACATTTGGAACAGTTCGGCTGAACTCGGCAGTAAGTATATTTGGAACGATTCGCCATCGCCCGAACTGGGCAGTATATTTGGAACGGTTCGCCCGAACTCGGCGGTCGTATGCCGCCGGTCGCCTTAACTAAATGGAAGGGACTGGCCAGTGGAATAGCGGCGCTGTGCGCGATGCCTCGCCAATAACACGGGAACAAAGTCGGCGACTTGTATAGACGTAGCGCCCAGCGTCACCCGCGCCGTCGCCTCCAGTCTCTAATTGGCGCTTAGATTCCTCCTTGCCCATACGTGCCGCCCATGTTACCCCAGTCACCGACACTTGCAGGTTGGAGTCGAATCGATGCGACGGAATAGTCAGGTCCTATCCCTGGCCTGCACGGGTCACATGGTCCGTCTCCGGCGAGCTGCATGGGTTACATCGCCTCTCAGTTGGCGCGCACCGCAATGCATTATACTCAAAACAGGCGCACAGTGCAGCGGAGAGCTGCCCTGCCGGCCGGCCGGCTGGTGCCGCTAGTTGGGCCAGTGTCTGGCTGTTGGCGGCGCGGCGCCGGCCGCCTCCCGCCGGCTCCAGTCCTCCAGCCATGCGGCCGCCGCGGCCTGGTGGCTGCCGCGCCAGCGGATGTTCAGCTGGATGCTTTCCAGCGCCTGCCGCAGGGAGCGGCTAGCGCTGCGCAGATCCTTTCCGTCGAAAAAGGCCCGCACCTGGCGCGGACCATGGGGACGGAACTGTCAGCGACGAGTTCAACGGTACGGCAGTCAACACACCAGGCAGTGAGCGCGGTCAACCGGCCAGCCGCCGTCTCCTCTCAGTCTCACCTCCTCCAGCTCCAGCTGCGTGCTGAAGCGCGACACTAGCTCCTGGATGATGTTGTCGATCATGAAGGTGCCGCCGCCAAACTTGTCGAGAATCTTGTGCCAGTTGAGCCGGACGAACCGCCAAAGCCGGAGGCGCGCCTGCCGGGGGTGGCGGTGGCGCGTCACTGGTGCGTCACTGGTGTGTCACTGGTGCGTCACTGGCGCGTCACTGGTGTGCCGGCACCAGGGCGCGCGGCGGCTACCTACGACAACCGCCAGCAGCTACCCAGGCCGCCCTGCTACCTACGGCAACCGCCAGCAGCTACCCAGGCCGCCCTGCGCCTCGTGCCAAAGGCAAACACGACGGCACAACACCATAGCGGGCCCAGAACGGGGCCTATTCGGTTTTTCATCTGGCACACTTGTGAACTGGACCAATGGCCAGTCGGAGTTCAAATAGTGCCGGCCGTGTGTGGCTGCGCTGAATACTCACGGCCTGGTTGGCCGCCGTTGACTCCACGACCAGCACGAAGTCTTGACTGCGCACCAGCTCACCCGCCAGACTGATCCGCAGAAAGCTGCCGGAACATACGGGTGGTGTCAATTGGTTACCGAAAAGATGTGCTCACCGATTCGGTAATCAGTCGGTCATCCCCCCCCCAAATCGGACATTTTCGGTCACCCTGAAACCATTTTCAAAAAGAGAAAGTACCTATTCCATTTTTACCTAGTTAAAATAAAATTTATTGGGATGTTAATGAAAATAGTTGCAAAATTTCCCCCAAAGGCTGCTACCGGCACCGCCCCCCCCCCCGCCCCACAAAAATGTTATGGGATACCGGCATGCTACCCAAGATTCCTTTACTACTCAGGTTGGTTCACTAGGGAAATAAAGGCGCCGTGGTGACGTCATCAGAGGAAATCCTTCACGTTCAAATTAAGGGGTCATTTGAATTGCTGATTTTGGCTCGATATTGTACCATTTTTTAGTTTCAGCCCCATTTATCGTAATGAGGCGAGCTCATTGTTACATTGGTACCTACAGGGACCCGCAGCTGCTTCTATACACACTATGCATTTCAGCGTAGGTATTCTTGGCCTGTAACACCATTGAAGGCGAATTGGGCAATGATTGTGTGCTTATTAAAACCACCATCTGAAGGGCTTTAAACTGATGTGCTGCTCTCCGAATTAAATGAACGTTTAATGGCTGTATCAGCAAAAGATTGTTTTCAGCGCTTTTTCCTGTCCCATTCCTTCTAAAACCTGGGCCCAATCTTACCAAATGCCGTGAATGCGGATTCACGGCATTTGGTAACATTCAAAACTATCCCACATTCACTTGTCCATTCGTTCAGGCAACATTCATAATCATTCACGCTATCAAAATCATTGGCCAAGATTAGTTGGATGTAAATAAAAAGGATATCTTTTATCGGGGTTACATGAGCACAGTAAATACGTATTTAGCCGCTAATTGGAATTAGGAACGCATTACCGTCTCATGTAGCCACCTGCTAGTACGAATCGGCGATCCGATCCGCGGTTACATGAGCAAAGCAAATACGTATCACGATCGGATTCACCGCTAATGCGAATCAGGAGCGTACTATACCGACTCTTGTATCCACCTGCTAATACGAATCGGCGGTCCGAACAAAATCCGCTGGGAAAGGAGGTTTAGAAGCGAATAGGACCAAGATACGTATTACAGGAACTATTTCTTTCCAAAAAGAAACATTAAAATGCAAAATAATACGTATTTTTTCATTTGCTTCTTTTGAAATAATAATTAAAAAAATATGTCGGTATTTTATCAAGTTTTCAAAAATAAATATAGTGAAAACCAAAAAGAAAATATCAAAGTACTTTCAGTTGAAACATTTTTCTGACAGCACTACAGACGAATCAAAGAGAGGCAAGTGCTCAATGAGTCAAAACAAGACAACTTTATGTTTAACTTTTTTTGTTGTTAAGTTAATTGAGAATGTTTTGAGCAGATTAAATGCAAAAAAGGCATAAGGTATTAAGTTTTTAATTCAGTCACCTCTATTGCTACGGAAATGCGCCACATTTGTATGCTATTCCGTTTGTAGTGCGCATTACCTTCCGTCAGGCCGAGAGCCAAACTAGATCCGTTTGACGTCACTGACACGAATTTGCTCATGTAGTCTGTGCACTGAATGCGTTCTTGGGGAGCTGATGCGAATTAGCGTAGTACGTATTTGGAACGGATCGCTCATGTAACCGAGGCACACGATTCGGGCCGTATTTCACAAGTACTATTCTTTGCTGAATGGAAGCATCAAAATGCAAAATACTAAGCATTTTTTATTGGCTGCCTCGTAGAAAATAGCAAAAAAAAAATGTTGGTATTTTGGTTTAGTCTTTGAATGTGAATTTGATAAAGATCAAAAATAAAATGAATGAAATATTTTGATAGATAATTTTTTCTGACCACCCTGCTGTCGCTGCATGGCGAATCAGTGCCCAGTGACTTAAAACAAGAAAACTTTGTTTTCATTTTTTGATTTCATGTTAATTTTACATGTTTTTTGAGCCTATCAAATGATATAAATATTTAAAATTTAGTTCAGTCGTCCCGGTAAATGCCGCAACTGCGCCATGACTGTACGCTAATCCTATTCCGTTTGTGATGCGAATAACCGGCGGTCGAGGAGTGAACCCGGGTGAGCCAAACAAGATCCGTTTGACGTAGATAAAACGAATTAGTCTCATGTAACCGGTGCCGTAGATACGTTTGTGGGGAGCTGATGCGCATTACCGTAGTACGTATTTGGAACGGATCGCTCATGTAACCCCGGTAACTGAACTCTATAATGTGGAAGGCGCATCGGCCGCCAGATGGTGTCCAACGGTGCCGCCATGTTGCGCAGACCAGGAAGCGGCCGCCGCCTGTGTTGGGGAATAGGGAATTCGGGACCTCGATTTACGTTTGCGGCCGCTGCATCCGTTACGTTCAAGCTATGTAGACACGGAACCCGGCATCTTACGCAGAATTGAGTGGAGAACAAGGTGACATCTTTAAAAATCCTCAGATACAGGGCACTTTCACGTTAAACCCTTATAAGTCAATGGGGAAATATGGAAATTGCTATTTTAGCGCCGGATATGATCTGAAACTATATCAAGCATTAGAATCGTGCTTTCATGCACTCCTTGCAAGGTCCGATGCTTCACATTTGCATTGTTGCCCTTGCGTGACGTCATTTGTGACGTCACAAGGGTCATAAACTTTTCTTCAATAACTCCCGATCAAATTGAGCTAGCGAATCGGGAAAGCCACAAATGGACTCAGAAAGATCTGCCGAATCGAATGATATGCAACATGACCTCACTCGACCAGCTTCGTGACCTGAGAGCTCTGACCTGACCTTGTCACGAGGTCAATGCCTTATGTTGACCTCACCCGAACAAAAAGTATATCACTCGATGCGCCTGAGCTAGGTGAACACGATGATGCCAAAATCATCGCGGCTCAGCGGGCATTTTTGGCGAAGTTATTTACCAAAAACCGAACCCGTGCCTTAGGTCACTTGATCTGACCTCAGAGGTCACCGGTTGACCTGAGACCTTTAAACGGATTCCTATCAGTCACTCTGCATTATACTCTGCCGCATACGACCACTACCGCTATATTCTAGTTAACCCGCGCGGGGCTGTGGTCTCCAGCCGAACGCGCGGGGCTGGGGGGGGGTAAATTTTACCCCCCCCCCCTGTTATCTCCCGAATTAATGGTCCGATTTGGAAAATTCAAACGCCAATCGAAAGATCTCATCACGAACAACTAAAAACATGTACTTAATTTAAAGTTTGAGGTCAAGGTCAAGGTCAGGTCAAGGGTACAAATTGCAAGTTCCTACAGTAACGGCCTTGCACCGTAGTTGCCGAAGAATGGAGTCATGGACTGAGACTGATTGCCCAAAACGTATTCTTAGGCTACCAAGACAATATTCGTTGCATGCAATATCATTCAGAGGTCAAGGTCAAGGTCAGGTCAGGTCAGGTCACCAAAAACAAAATATAGAAAAGGGCATGTGCGACACATGTTTTATGGGTCATTTTACTCATAGAATTCAATAGGCACACTCAATAAGTGATATGGACCACCTCTGGATGAATTTCAGGTCGAGGTCAGGTCAAGGTCAGGTCAAGTGCGGTCAAATTTTGAAGTTGGTTGTTAAGGCCTAAAAAGGTGTCTATCTGATGCAGTTTTTCACGGCGAATCGAATGGTGCTATTTTTGTTTCCGTACGAGGTCTAGAACTTCAAAAAAAAATCATTTTTCAAAATTTTTGTATGTCGTGACGTCATAAAATTTTGAATTACTCCCACATTTTTGAACCGATTCTTCTAAAAATTGGTATGTAGGTGCACATAGACCACTTCTCTGACATATATTCCGGTTTTTTTCGATACACTCAAAATTTTGGATTTTATAATTATTTTCCAAAAAAAGTCAGTTAAAAAAAATATGGCCAAAATCCAAAATTTTCAAAAAACGAGATAGCCATTTGATAGACAAAGTAGAATTACGTATAAACTTTTTGTTACGTCTTGATTCCTTTAAAAATGAAGATGTTAGCGGCGTTTGAAATTGTGCCGTTTTTGAGGCGAAAATGGCGAACATGACGTCACTAAAACGTCAATTTCTCAAAAAATATCCGACAGATTTCGCTCAAATTTTCAGGGAACATGTCAAATTGATGTAAGAAAAGGTACTGAAAGTTTGGCGGCGCTGCGCGCCGCCGTTTTCGAGATATTGCAAAAATTCGCGAGGGGGGGGGGTAAAATTTACCCCCCCCAGCCCCGCGCGGGATTAGCGGCGCATTAGCGAGGTGGGTCCAACAACCCTCTCGGCCGAGGCAAATGTAGAAAGACGATGGTCCGGCGAGTAAATTTGAGGAATTCTGAAGATTCCATCGTGTTCCCCACTCAATTCCGCGTAAGATGCTGGGTTCCGTATCGACGTAGCTTGTACGTAAGGCCGCAATTGTAAATCGGGGTCCCGAATTCCCTATTCCTCAACACAGGCGGCGGCCGGTTTCTGGTCTGCGCAATATGGCCGCCATCGTTAGACACTACGGCCAATAGGGTTGAAGCGGCATTGCTCCCCTGTGCTTTGATATCAGTGTCGTAAACTCCGGCCAGTGCTGCCAAATCCTATTTACGGCATTGGTAAGATTGGATTGGGCCCTGGAACCGCTCATTCCATTCACTCCTGCCATCTGACGATGGTCGTGCTGATTAGTAGTTCCGGCGCTAGTAACTGCTCCACTTTTGTACCCGGCACAAACTCAGGAGGCACCGTGGCTCGACCAGTGAGGGTCGGACCGAGCCGACTGCCTGGGGCGCGGTTAGATCGGAGGCCCTGCTGGGGAAGGGGACGGGAATGAAGGGGAGGGTAGGAGGTGGTCACGTGGTCCGTCCAAGCTCGCACACGACCTGTCCCGCGCCCAGCCATGTTCCGTGATCCAAAACGGCACTAGAGCGCTGTGGAATTCCTGGAGGAGACGCTTCGAAAGGGAACTGCAGCAGCACTATTTTAGCATATTCTT